AATTGTGGAAATTAGCACAAACTTTTTTTTTCCTTGTCTAATTGTTTGTAGCCTTATGGGCTATTCCAACTTCGAGCGGATCGGTAGGTGAACTCACGGGCTCAACCTGAGAGAATTGCTAACACTAGCCTTATCAAGAGTAGTGCTTCGCTGAATCTACTACCGGATCGGAATCGCGACCCACTGACAAACATATTGACAGTGACTATCGAAACAGAAGCTACCAGGAGACCATAAAATTCAAGAGAAAGTACTCATTGACGGTTGTCATATCAAACTATCAATAGACTCAGTTTATCGGCTCACGCCAGATAGATCGTTACATATCAGTAATCAGAAAGTCACGTATTTTTATTCCGTGACCGTATCAAATAGCGCAATTGTTATGCAAATCAGAACGTGCATAAACATCTTTAAAGAAAACTACACAAAATGTAAAACAAATGTTTGTTTAATTCGTAAAAATTTCCTGTATGCACAAGAGAATGTCTTCATTTTAATTTATTTACTTTTTCTAGGAATTAAAGAGAAGATATTAAAATCTATAAGACATTATGGTAGAGCCGATGGCCGGTCAATGTTCACGGCCTAAAAGTTTTTAATTATGTATATTCGATGATTAGTATACTGATTACGACACGTACGCTATCTGCGCCCAATTAACTATTATCATAATCTCAAATAAAGCTGCACAGTATTATTAATTATAGATTAGATATATAGATTTACTACTTTGCCATGCACACGATTATTTATTTATATAGTGATGGCTTGACCCCTAAACGTATCAGTAGATCAGTGATTTTGATAATAATATAATTATATATTCATGCGATGCGAATATTTTTGTGAATAACGAAAATGTTTTATTTTAAAAACAGAAGTTTTAAAAGTTTATAACACAGAAATTTAAATTTAAAAACAGGGTTATAAAAAGACATGTGAACTTATCCTATTTATGCGTCATGCGTGAATATGTGAGCTTATCTACTTCAATAAAAAAACTACTAAGAGCGTGGACAGCTACAATTTTTACCTTAACTGCATCACGCACAGACGTGTAATAAAGAGAAGTGAAATAAATTGAACACCCGGTTTTTATTATTTCTTATCTGCGACATGACGGCAGTCGGTGATGTAATATTGAATTCACGTTTTTTTTTATTGCTTAGATGGGTGGGCGCGCTCACAGCCCACCTGGTGTTAAATGGTTACTGGAGCCCATTGACATCTACAACGTAAATGCGCCACCTACCTTGAAATATAAGTTCTAAGGTTTCAAGTATAGTTACAACGGCTGTCCCACCCTTCAAACCGAAACGCATTACTGCTTCACGGCAGAAATAGGCGGGGTGGTGGTACCTACCCCTACCACCTACCACCAGTTTATTCACAACCAACGACAACGGCGCATTGATCTAACGAAAAAAAGTTTAAAAGTTTTATCATTGGACGAAAATTGAGAAAATATTGATGAATGGTGACATTCAGAGCCTTAAGCGATAACATCTTTGAATCACTGTAGTGACGGATAACTAGTTTATAATAATATACAGCCGTTAAAAAAAACCCAATCTGTTAGCGGCTCTGTCAAGAGATAAAGTTAAATGAACTAGATAAATTACATTCGCAATGTGATTATAGATAACATCGTGACTTCTTTCGCGACAGAGATTAGATAGATACAGGGGTACTAATAAAAATAAAGCTTCAAATAGTGATAAAATATTACTAAGCGAAAACTAATTACCAGTACTTAATTATAAAATAGTAAGATTAATTGCGTCATCAAATTGACTGTAACAATTCTTAGGTTAAGGCGTGTCAAGTGGAATTGTATTTATCATTTGCCAAAATACAAAATAATTAACGCTTCAATACAGACGTGCATGGAAGCAAACTTTATAGTGATACTAGCGACCCGCCCTCGCTTCGCTTCGGAAACATGAAATTTTATTATTGATTATTTACGACATCACATTACTCGTAGAAACCTCAAAAATAACAGTACTTCTCCACCATTTAATGGATGTTATTATACATATAAACCTTCCTCTTCAATCAGTCTATCTATAAAAAAAAACCGCATCAAAATCCGTTGCGTAGTTTTAAAGATTTAAGCATACATAGGGATATAGGGACAGAGAAAGCGACTTTGTTTTATACTATGTAGTGATAATCGAAATTACCTCACGGCTTATTGTTGGCATTTTATTCCAACGTTTTAAATATTCTGCACCTTTTGTGGTCCCGGAAAGCTAAGAACACAATGTTGATGAAAAACATACGGACGGAGGCTAGTTTTTGTGAATTGGTGGTAGTTCTTTTGACGTTAAATAAGTATGTACTTTCATTTATGTTGAATAAAAATTTGTTTTGATTTGATTTGATTTGAATTCTAAACGTGACTTTAAACCGTAACTGTAGTATTAATTGTGTCTACAACTCGCGGAAACTGAAAACATATTATAGTACTACCGATAATATATGAGATACCATGCACTCGAACCCGCGATAGCGATCTCATTCTAGGAAAATTCAAGAATATCATTCAATAAAAGATAATTTTGAATTTCAAGATCGTGCCGTCTTGTGATTGCACTCAAGATTTGGACTAAAGGTGTGACATGTTTTGCTTATCTCTTTTGTAATATAATTGAGAACCTAGACATGCATATGTACATAGCGTTTTGTGCGTTGATAGTACAGTAAAAGCTGTTTATTCGCGGGGTATACCGTGAATATGGAAAAGCACGCTTACAAAGGATCTTCGGCTGGATACCTACATATTGGAATTCTTTTTATCAATGTGTAAAACTAAAACCAGACTGGTGCGGACTCTTGTTTTCTCTATCTTCTTGTATGGAGCTGAGACATGGACGTTGAAAGCAGCAGACCGAATCCGCATCGATGCTTTCGAAATGTGGTGTTGGAGACGCATGCTAAGAATTCCGTGGACAACCTTCCGGACTAACGTGTCGATATTGAAGCAACTGGGCATCAAAATCAGACTGTCTACTGTATGTCTGAAGCGGATCCTCGAATATTTTGGTAACATTGCGAGGAAAGACGGCGATAACCTGGAAAAACTTATGATCACAGGGAAAGTTGAAGGCAACAGATCTAGAGGCCGCAACCCGACTCGTTGGTCCGATCAGATCCGCACCGCTTTGGACAGTACAGTGTACAGCGCGCTGCATGACGCCGTGGACAGGGGAAAGTGGAAAAACATCTTAAGACTGAAGCTCATGGGTGATGGTGGTCACGACCCTCGGACATGAGGAACACGATTCGAGGAGGAGGAGGATGTACCGATTAGATCCGCGAACGTAGGAATTTGGTCGCATTTTTATTATCCGCGAATAATGAGTAAACTCTATTCGCTAAAATATTATAAAGAAATAGAGGCAGAGTTAAATCAAAAACTCTTACTTTAGATCGGGCGAGTATTGTTAATTTTTTCAACGAACATCGTTAGCTCCTCAAGCATCCATCGGGAATATATAACTTGGGATTTAGAAAGAAAGCGACGAAGCCACAACCTGTTGATCGGGAATACGGAATCTGGGTCAGATTCTATTGAAGTGGGTGACTTGAATCTGGTAAAATCGAATACGGGATTAGATGTTTTTAATTAAGTTTCTTGCGGACGAGGTACTGTAATATGGTTCTATGTTATATCTGATCTGGTGACAGAGTGCTAATTGCGGCCGATCGTGAAGCCACCGTGTAATTAAAAGCCAAATTTGTAAAACTCAATTTGCGTAATTACTTATACAAATTAAACCTCAGATCCCAAAGGCAACATTTACGTTTTTTTATTTTTTATTGCTTAAATGGGTGAACGAGCTCACGACCCACCCGGTGTTAAGTGGTTACCGGAGCTCATATACATCTACAACGTAAATGCCGCGACACCCATGTAGAGATATGAGTTCGTTTTGACCCCTATGGTCTTTGGTAATTACTTAATATCGTGTGGACCGTGAGTTAGTTCACATTGCCAAGCATTTAAAATAAAAGTAGTGATTAGTAGGTAATTTAGCTCAGGATCAAACTGAGGCGTAGTCACGCGACCACGAGTGTACCTTACGTCTCATCTATACGACAATGAACCCTTCAAACATAATATTGCTGCTGAAAGCGATATGAACCCATGACCAACGATTAAGCGTCTTGTTTGCCTTATCAATATTTAATACACAACACAATAAAATTAAAATCATTTGTTCCTATTGTTCTTATCTGCGAGTAGTAAATAATTCCGCCGACACGACCCGACCTAGATAACCCGATCGTATAGTAAATGTTATTAATAGAAATGGTTGCTTGATATAATAAGGAAATAAATTAAAAGGCTTTGTGTGATTGTTTTACAGAGATTTCTTAAAGAGGATATTTTATTCCACGTCATTATAATTGAATGTACATATGCTGTGCATTTATTATTATTTATATTGCAACTGACGAATTGTCTGACGAAAATTATGTGCATTGGATGTGAATGAATCCGCGGGGCACGTCTTGTCCCTAATATATGAAACCTTTCAAATTCAACGACCCCAAACTGGGATGTCTAGCTGTGTTATGGTTGCCGCCGCAAATAAACATGCAATTCAAGAACATATTATATATCCAGACTCCGAGTATCAAATCAAATATCTTTGACATGTACACTGACCCACGACATCGTAGTGCACCGCGGTATGCTGGTCAAGGTCAAACTAGGTACACCAATATGGAGCAAAGGTTCTCTCAGTGGGCTTAAATAATTTCATCCTTAACATAACGACTGTTAGATAGGTAATTGATTATCTTTTCGAGATTGATGTTTCTGTACGATGAAACTGCCTCGTCTGCATAGTGGCGATTCATTTGGTTGTTTTTAATTTGTACCTCCAAGCGCTTTGTATACTTGATTCTTTTATTTAGCAGTAGCAATAGTAGACATGTATGTTTTAAAAATCTGTTTGTATAAGTTATTGTTTTGCTTGTTACAGTTACGAGGGGTACCGGCGAATGAACGCGTCTACACTCTTCGGACCCGTCCCCCCTCCCTACTGCCTCCTTCCCCTCTAAGCCTGGCCAGTTCCGGTGACAAGAGTCTGGCGGCCCACACCCACTCTCCTTCCTTAGAACGTCCCGCCAGCCAGCCGTCAGTGCCTCCGACGACTGCGACCTTCGTGTGCTATGTGTGCGGAGTCAGCACCCCCAGCTCTCAGTTGAGGCTGGTGTACTGCTGTCCCAACCCCGAGAGGGAGCCCTACTACCCGTTTATAACGAGTCTGAAGCCCCACGCTGACGCCAGTCCTATTAGTCCACAGGGTGAGTGATTAACTTTTCTCGAATAATTAATCGGTAGTTTATTGTAACAAGAAGTGCCGATATTTGTAAAGTTCTCAGACCAACATTAACTTGAACAAACGACCAGAATATTATTGATTGCAGAATTAAGGCTTCGTCAAACAGTACGCGTACTTAGCGCGCGTCAGAGCGCTTAACTGACGGCGCGCTATGACGCCGAGATGTGTTGTACTACTATGGTAATGTACTGTCAAACAGAGCCCCAGCGTTATAAGTACGCAGCGCTCTGTCGCGGCGTTAGGACGCTTTGACGTCAGGCGTTGTAATTTTTTACAAATTTTATTTTAGCGTCCGAGTGAATGTGTATTAAAATACTGGATATTACCCGAGAAATTGATAGAATTAGTTAGAAAATACCCATGCTTATACAATGCCACATGTGAATCTCTCGACATCTTAATACTTTAAAAATTTTACACTGCTATCGAAAGGCACTATGATTTGGCGAACGTTACGTTGCGTCAAGGAGCGTTGGGCTCATCCAGTCAATTTGTGTGACTTGAAAAGAGCGCGACGTTAAAACGCAGTGCTAAGCACGCGTTCTGTTTGACGAAGCCTTTAGTATTTATATACATATATATATATTTTTATTAATTGCTTAGATGAATGGACAGGCTCACAGCCCACCTGTTGTTAAGTGGTGATGGAGCCCATAACATCCACAACATAAATGCGCCACCCACCTTGAGATATAAGTTCTAAGGTCTCAAGTATAGTTACAACGGCTGCCCCGCCCTTCAAACCGAAAAGCATTACTGCTTCATGGCAGAAATAGGCAAGGTGGTGGTGCCTACCCGCGCGGACTCACAAGAGGTCCTACCACTAGTAATAAAAAAATTATAGATTTATTTTAAAATAGATAGCGGCTCGTTGACGTAATGTATTTTGTACACATGTGATATTGACGCAGGTATGGTACAGATATGCGCGGCGTGCTACAAGAGCATACCGCACAAGTACCCGGCGTACGGCGAGAATGGCGAACCCAACCACCATAATAATTCACATACCAATAATATTAGGTGAGTACATCGCTGTATCGACGCTGACTCGACAACAATGCATCTCAAACTGCAGAACATCAGAGCATTTAACGCGTTAATTTTTGTGGGTAGTTGAAATATTTCCGATATTCTTGTATGCCTGATTTAGAGTTGCGCAGATGTTTGCAGCTGCAAAATAATCGGAATTGCAGTGAAGGGAAGATCTGTGGTCAGCAGGGACCGTCTTGCGACCGACATGGCGTCAGAATTATGTTCATTCTCTTGTGTTGAACTGGCTGTGCCCGGCTTGTATGGGCTTTAAAAAAATCTTTAGGCAATGCAAAATAGCACAACTGATATTCCCTCAATAAAGAGTTTGTGTCTGTGAAGGCTCATAGATATTTTTGACCAAACTGCTGAGTTAAATTTGTTAAAATTTCATTATTGTCTACAGTTGACCATTCTATATCAGTGAAACCTTGGGCTTTAAACTCAGCTGAACACAACGCACATTACCAATGATTCCGATACTTACCACAATCAACTGTAATGCAATAACGGCCGTTTGGTGTAGTGATAAGTGACATGGTCACCACACAAGGGGGTCGCGGGTTCAAATCCCGCCAAGGGAAGATATTTATATGATAAATATCAAATGTCTTTTCCAGGGTTACGGATGTATATAAAATATATGTATGTGTATAATAAAAATCTTACATTCATTTCCGTTATCTGGTACCTGCAACACAAGCTCTTTACGAACTTAATACGAGACCAGTTAACGTGGCGTGATTGTTAGTAAATATTTATATATATATAAAATAAAAATAAAAGAAACTGTTGGGTGTTTCAAACCGACCCGAGTGAAGCAAACAAGGCACGTGTCTCTTTGTAAAGTCGGTTTCGTTTCCAGATTTAAGCCGTACGATATAAAGTCGAGCTCGAGTCAGTCGAGCCGGCGACCCTCCAGCGCGCACTCCGCCAGCCCCCACGGACAGCTCGTCGCCGGGGAGAACGGCATGGGCCTCTACAGGTACGGACCCCTTGCTAACCAATACCAGGCTCCTTGGTAATTTCATGCCAGACAAAAGGCGTCCTGCTTTAAAAACGGGCCGCAATCGAAGTTCGGGGCAACCTTATATTTCAGAACGTTAGCAGTCGTATTTCAATCATTTTCTCCGCGCCGGTGGTGTAATCATTCAATCTTAATACGTCATTTCGGATCCTCGTGATCACTAACGGTGCTTTTAGGTACTTCAAGCACTGGTAATCGTTCTCGTCGAAACCGTCACTTGGGACGAAGAGCTCGACAAGTAAATTAACCCTCAGACACAGCCCACTGAGTTTCTCGCCGGATCTTCTCAGGGGGTCTCGTTTCCGATCCGGTGGTAGAGTCTGCGAAGCACTGATCTTGCCAGGGTTTGTGTTAGCAACGTCGTCAGGTTTGAGCCCCTTTGAGCTCACCTACTAGTTAAAATTACGCTGATATAGCCTCTTAAAGCTCTTAGCTTATGCAGGAAAAAAAAACAATCTTAAAAGCGTGTTCGTTATTCACTGTCGGTGCCGGTCCGCCGCTCCGCACTGTGCCATACTTGTATGTACACGCCGCGTGCAGCCGGACCCGCTGACGGGGTCGCGGGGCTGCCGGTGTGCTGGCAGATTCATTTGATTTTGTTGTTATGAAGATGCAGAGTGTTGCCAATCTCGCTATGGACTATTCAATTAGTCGCCGACTTAGAATGGAATCTGGTGAATTTCATTTTATTATCGGAACGATGAGGCAGGCGCTAACTAGTACAAGTCAAGTCCCGTCTGGCTGTAGTGACGGGACGCAGTTATTACGTGTAGCTGCTAATGGCGGCAGCGAGTGCTGAGAGTGTTTGTGGTGGGCGCAGGTGCTACGTGTGCGCGGGGCTGTTCCCGCAGCAGTCGATGGAGTGGCTGTCCACCTCCGCGGAGTACATGAACTCGCACGCCATGCACTTCCCGTGCCTGGGCGCGCGCGGCGGCCGCGTGCTGGCGTGCGCGCGCTGCGTGCGCCACCTCGCCACGCAGTGGGACCTCATGGACGCCGAGAGGGTGCCGCTCGAGCACCGCAGGTACCGCCCCGCCCCCCACACGCTGGTCCCGCGTGACGATACCACGGACCTCAAGTTGAGCTGTGTTGCGACTTGCAGGTACAACATACCGTCGCCCTTACCGTCGAACTCGTCAATGAACGGCGAGCGAGTGATCCCGACGCCGCCGTCCACCACCTCCGACCGGACCGTCGCCAGCAACAGCAGTACGTACACCCGACTGCGGCTCCTAGCTCATTCAGATACTGAATCAACAAAATGTTAAAAAATTAACGAAAAATTATTGTTTAATTATGTCATACATATTTTGACTTTAAGCTGATATTAAATTTTTTCTCCAATTATGAAGAATATAATATTATCAAAGTGCCATTTTAATTACGATTGTGGCGTCCTCCCGGGGCGTGGGTGTGCGTCCCCCCGGGCCGGGTAGCACGCTAGAGACTGACCCCCGCCGTTCGTCCTTGCAGCGTGCACGTCCATCTACTGCTTCCTGTGCGGCCTGCACTCGGACTTCACCCTGGCGCGCGTGCTGTACGGGCAGCCGCAGGGGAACGCGCCCTACTTCCCGTGCCTGCTCACGCACCAGGTAGCCCTGCCGCCTGCCGCCTGCCTACTGCTCTGTGCTCAATCGCATCCTTGAGAACCTAATTAATTAATTCAAAATAATTAATAATTAAGTTTTAAATGCAAATTTAGTAATTTTATTTTTATTAGTACAATTAAAAAAAGACTAAAATAAATTCCAAAAAATATACGTATTATTCACCATTAGTCTTCTAATTATAAATGTTTAATGCTTATTTTTGTTATAGTGCATACACTGTTACTAAACGTTGTCGTTGTCCCGCCCGCACAGAGCCACCCCAACGCGGAGCAGCTGCGCGACAACGGCTCCGCGCTCGTCTGCACGTTCTGCTACCACTCGCTGCTCAACCAGTGGCGCCGGTCAGTGTCCCCCGCCCGGCCCCCACCTGGCCCCCGCGGCCCCCCGCCTGGCCCCCCAGCCAGTAATGTCGTTGTGTGCAGGTACGAGGCGCTGGGCGGGCAGCCGGCGGAGCGCCGCGTGTACAACACGCACGACTACAACTGCCACCTCTGCGGCGTCAAGACGTACCGGAAGCGGGTGCGCGCGCTGCCCATCAAGGTCTGTCCCCTTACTTCTTGGCCAGAACTAAGTGATCTAATGCTGATACGTGCAGAGTTACGAGCGTCTTGCGGATGTGGTGTTCGATCAGTCGGTTTGTTGCAGGAGTTCCCGTTCCTGGTGCAGCGACGGACTGAAAATTCACTGCTGTTAGAGAACGGTGACTACGCCGTCGTGTGTCTAGATTGTTACGAGAGCTTAAGGTGAGTCGGTAGCGGGCTGGGGGGGGGAGCGCCCCCCGCAGCGTCGCTAACCAGGCGCGTGTCCCAGGACGCAGGCGGCGGACTACGAGCGGCGCGGCGTGCCCGTGGACAAGCGCGAGTACAACTGGCTGCAGCAGCCGCCGCCGCCCGAGGACTCCGCCGACGTCACCATCGCGCGCCTGCCCTCCGGGGACAGGTCCGACAAGCTGGTAACTACCCGCCCCCTACCACAAGCTTCTCCTAATTTGTTGTATCTCTACACGACGACGCTATAGTCGTAGAATGTAAATGAAATCCCCAATAATAACATTAGTCTCTTGCTAATCGATCGTGAGCTAATCTTAAATTGAAATTATGAATATGATTTGTGGACGTGCGTGAGACAGCGAGTACCCGAGTGACGAGCCCGTCGGTCCCCAGATACCGCAATCCCTGGTGCTGCAGCGCGGCTCCAGCAAGCGGCACAGCCCCAAGCAGGCCGCGGCGCTGCTGGCAGACCGCCGCCTCACCCCCAAGCTGGAGAAGGCTTCGGACACAGGTCGGTGTCCCCCGTCCCCCCCGTGTAGTCGGACTCCCACGTCAATACAGTAACTTCACTAGCTCTATGTGCTTAGTGCGAGTTTTTTAACGTTCTCGATAGCGTAAAAGTTAGCTCTAATTTGTATGGAGTTGGAACAGCGCCCCTAGCGGCAAACGTAGGCAAACGATTCCATTCCATACAAATATGAGTTAATTTTTACGCTTGCGAAAACGTTAAAAAAATACATGTGTGCAATTCACACGTGGTAGAAGTGAAACCTTCAAAAATTAAAATACAGCTATCCTAAATGTCTAAGTATATGTAAAATTTTGTCATTAGTAAATAATGGTAAATCATCTTTTATACTACGAGGTAGCGCCCTCTGATATTTTAACTTCACGTATAATCTTAAATTAAAATTCACTAAAAGAGGTTTCATACACACGTTAGTATTAAAAATATCATAGATGGCGCTGTATTTAAAAAAAAACAATGGACTTATTTTTTCGTTTCATCGAGTTTGAAATCACAACGATTCTAAAGAAGTTTCACTTCAAAACTCTCGCACTGAGTACACAGGGCGCCGACTGCACCCGCACACTAGCGAACAGTGGGCCGGCGCTCCTAATGTACACGATCACAAAACACGCGACACGTTTATTTACATAACAATCAACAGGTCTATTGTACTTGCCTTTAGAATACAAGTACTTCTCATTCGCACTTATGATTGCAAAGTCTTTAACGTTATATATAAAATTTGGACAAACAAGTAATTAGTCCAGTTACAAAATTCATGCGATACATGGACAACAGTTTACGAACAAATGTAGGGAGCAGCGCGCCCGGACAGACACCTGTGGATGTGCCGCCGCGCCCGCCACAGAGTATAGCCTTGCCTTACTTGTCGCTTAGTGCCTAATCTACGACTGTCTCTCAGAGACTGTCAACTTCATTTATGTCATTTAAAGTCAACGAGAGATTAGTATTTCAATGATAGTTAAAAAATTTACAATGTTAAATATTGCATTACTAATCAATACTGAATGTATTATAGTGGTGGTTTAACGATTTTATGTGTGGATTCTATTTTCTACTTTAAAATTATCTAATATTAATCACTAAGTAAATCTCTTTAAAATTCTGATGTACATATCACGATCTTCGAAAAATAGGCAACACAAAGAAAAACAATAACCCGTCTGATTTCGAGCTACTCTATCACCCCCGCGCTCCCCCACAGACTGCAGGATTGTGTATTGCAAGCGAGGGGGTTGAGCGCCGCCCCACTCCACGCCGCCCCCTCGCCCACCCCCTCTCTGCCCCCATCCGTTGCCCCCGGCGCTCGTTGAGAAACGAACGACAAAGAATAAACTACGGATCGTGATTTTACATAAACTTTGAAAACTTTACGTTTAGTTTGAAGTTTCGTCGTCTCGTGAACGCTTAATGAATTATTTTTCTTGCATTAAATTATATTTATATCTTAGTGTATGTATGTACATACTTTATTTTATTAGAACGCTTTCATAAATTTTAGCTTTTTCTACTAAAACCTCAACAAGGTCGTTACGGGCGTCAAAACTTGTGACGTCACCGTACTTATTGTGACTTAAATATAGTCAGGCAACATCGCCCGTCCCGGTACTGAGGGACAGAGCAGCTGTGCCCCGGACATTTCGACCTTATTTCTCGATGTGTTCTTTTTTTATTTTATTTTTTATTGCTTAGACGTGTGGACGAGCTCACAACCCACCTGGTGTTAAGTGGTTACTGGAGCCCATAGACATCTACTACGTAAATGCGCCACACACCTTGAGATATAAGTTCTAAGGTCTCAGTATAGTCACAACGGCTGCCCCACCCTTCAAACCGAAACGCATTTCTGCTTCACGGCAGAGATAAGCGGGGCGGTGGTACCCACCCGTGCGGACTCACAAGAGGTCCTACCACCAGTAATTACGCAAATTATAATTTTGCGGGTTTGATTTTTATTACACGATGTTATTCCTTCACCATGGAAGTCAATCGTAACAATTTGTTAAGTACGTATTTCATTAGAAAAATTGGTCGATACGAATGCACCGGACGTCTTATCCTTTAGGCCACGACGACTTCAACTGTTCTGACCTGGGTGGCGATATCCGCATACTAATAGACTTTACAATTTAGTTTGTTCTGAACCAGTTTCATCAACATGAAATATCGAATTGAAACTGTGAAATTAGAACAACATGACTTGGATACTGTCGCCGATTCCTTTAGTTGAAGATCGACGCAGCTCCTCGATGCCTTTCTTCACACTCTTTATTTCGTCATTAGTTTTAGTCGATGTCCCCGGCCACTGCATGATGAGCTCTCGCGTCGTTTGGAACCTCTGGGTCTGCGAAGGGACTTCGGTTCCCTCTGTGATTTGTACCGTATGTTCCATGGGGAGTGCTCTGAGGAATTGTTCGAGATGATACCTTCATCTCGTTTTTACCATCGCACCGCCCACCACCGGAGTAGAGTTCATCCATACTACCTGGAGCCACTTCGGTCATCCACAGTGCGTTTCCAGAGATCTTTTTTGCCACGTACCATCCGGCTATGGAATGAGCTCCCCTCCACGGTTTTTCCCGAGCGCTATGACATGTCCTTCTTCAAACGAGGCTTGTGGAGAGTATTAAGCGGTAGGCAGCGGCTTGGCTCTGCCCCTGGCATTGCTGAAGTCCATGGGCGACGGTAACCACTCACCATCAGGTGGGCCGCATGCGCCTACAAGGGCAATAAAAAAAAGCTCGCAGGTTCGGGCCGGGCATGTCCCTCACTACTAACAATTTTCCTAGAGTTGTAATAGTAACTAGAGCATGTTAATAAATCGGTTAATAAATGCGGTTTCATGACAATTGTGTTAAAATATACAAGTAAAAAAGAATACGCAAAAAAACTTCAGAGGTGTCAAGGGACACCCGGATGGAACGAAGTTCCTTTCGATTAATTAATGAAGGAATTGTAATTTTTTTTTAAGTTATAATAATAAATTACGGCATTATGAAGAAGAAAAAAACAATACTATGAACTAAATTACAATTGTTGAAACGCTATCTCGAGAAACTGTACTCATTACGCGGACCAATCGGATACGAGCAATGTCACGCGATAAGCGCCTACACGTTGATTGGTCAGAATGACGGATCTAAAAAGTGTCGTGACAACTTTTCGTAAGAATTTTTTCCGTCTAGCCCCCTTTCACAACGCGCGATAAAGAACTTCGTTCCATAAAAAATATGATTATGTCATATTATTATGAGAGTTCCACATTAGTTCCGTGTTAGTTGTTCGCACGCCAGGGAACACCTAACTTTTTATAACATCTGCTTTACTCTTATTTGAAAAGCTTCGCTGTAAAACCACATAACTTTTAGATAGATTTCGTCTTTTTTCTTTGTCACATGCACTCGCAATGCGACGTCAGTCGAGTCCTCGTTCGATGTTACCTGACACGTATAAAAAGGCTTTATTTATAGGAAAGTAAAGTTGAAAATTGTCTCATGCTACACACTTGTTACCTGCCACGTATAAAAAGGCTTTATTGATGGGAGTGTAAAGTTGGAAATTTTCTGTCTTGCTACATAGTACGTTTTAGTTTTCAAATCATGATGGAAACGTCCGGAAAACGCAGGTAAAGTTTGATGTAGTAGGTCGTGTTCGCGAAGTTGGTCTGCGTAGTTTTCCTTTCCAACTAACGAGCCTGCCGCATGGGGTTGTAGAAAACGAACGGAATGCTGGTCTCGGCAAATACATACCCTTCGGTTCGAAGGGTGGGGTAGCCGTTGTAACTATACTGAGACCTTAGAACTTATATCTCGAGGTGGGTGGCGCATTTACGTTGTAGATGTCTATGGGCTCCAGTAACCACTTAACATCAGGTGGGCTGTGAGCTCGTCCATCCATCTAAGCATTAAAAAAAGGTGAACTAAAAAAAGAAAAACTTCTTAATTAACAGTTTTACGTACATGGTCTAGGAACCGCCGAATTAGGATTGATTCCCTGTTTTTTTTTTTTTTATAACCACATTCACTGGTGCCGTGCTAAGTTCTTAAAGAACTTGTGTTACAGGTACCAGATAACGGAAATAAATGTAAGATTTTTATTATACACATACATGTATTTAATATACATCCATTTTTATATTTATCATACAAATATCTTCCTTTGGCGGGATTCGAACCCCTTGTGTGACCATGTCACTTACCACTACACCAGACGGCCGTTAAAATATACTATACATGTGTACAGATGTAGCGGACGGCTAATACCACCCTCGTTTCTTCCCAAAGAAGTGAATTTCTTAAAATTTCCACGTTTTAAAAATATAAACAGTTTGTGTTGATGGATCAATCGATTCGGTAATTTTATCTTACATCAAAATAATGTGTAAACAAATCGTTTATTCCCTTACAAAATTAGCGATGTCGGCATAAAGGGCGGGAGCGCGCCACTAGGGGGGTGCAGGGGTGCTCTGGTGTCCGTAGCCAGGACGACGAAGCGTCAAAGCCCCCGGGATTATTGGAAAGCCATTTATGGCGGAACCGACGAACTAGACTGCCGGGTCCGGTCTTAATTGTAGCGGGCTGTGAATTGACACCCGCGCTAACGCGTCTATATCGCCTCTCGTACAATACCAACAGGGTTCCGTCTTCATGGAAGTTTGCTCATGTCCACCCTATCCCCAAGAAGGGTGACCGGTCGGACGCCTCGAATTACAGACCTATCGCGATAACTTCCTTGCTTTCCAAGGTGATGGAGCGAATCATAAACATCCAACTTCTTAAGTATCTTGAGGATCGCCAGCTGATCAGTGACCGGCAGTACGGTTTCCGTCATGGTCGCTCAGCTGGCGATCTTCTTGTATACCTTACATACAGGTGGGCTGAAGCCTTGGAAAGCAAGGGCGAGGCTCTCGCTGTGAGCCTTGACATCGCGAAGGCCTTTGACAGGGTCTGGCATAGGGCACTTCTATCGAAGCTTCCAGC